AATATACATAAAATTTATCATTTAACCCTTTTTAAGTATACACCTGAGGGGCATTAACTACATTCACACTGCTGTGTCACCACTATCCATCCCCACAACTTTTTCATCTTCCCAAACTGAAACCCCCTACCCCTTAATCTCTCTCGTACTGTAGATGCTTGTGTACTTGGTATCTTGCCCATCTTATAATATAGGGATTATGCCCTATTCATGTTTCTATCCTTTACAATGCCTTGCACACAGGAAGCACGCCACAGCTTGGAACTGAAATGGAATCTTCTTGAAAAGGCCCAAAGTTTTAGCTTTACTAGCTAATAATAACAATTTACTGTGTTCACTCTGTGCTAGGTACCACGTTAAGCATCTTATATACTTATTTCATTTAATCCACCCAACAACCCTATGAAGTAGGTTACTGTTATTACCCCTTTGTTTTCAAGGAGGAAACTGCAAGTGGAAAGACTGAATACTTGCCAAAGGTCACACTGCTAGTATCAAAAGCCAGTTCTGTACTATGCCAAGCCCACTGCACTTTTAATCAGTGCAAAAGAAGTACAGAGCAATTAAATAAAATAAGGGATCAGACTTCATCTAAGCCAGTCTAACAATTCCGAAAATCTCTTACTAAAGAAAGGGAGCTGGGCTCTACTGAAAGCTTCCTCTGCGCCACGTACTGCCTCCACCTGCTATTCTGTTTACCCTCACAAGAACCCTAAAAGGCAGGCGAGTTACAACCCTCACTTTACAGTGGAGGGGCTGAAGCACAGAGTTTAAATAACAGAAATGAGGTCACAACTCTCAGCTAAGCTCTTTCTATGAAACTTTGATGCCCCCTTTAAAAAAAGTAAAATCAGATAAAATTGAATTTCAGAAAATATTCCTGGGCACAGTACTTTTTTACTCAAGACTTAAATAGGTCCATGAAAGTGAAGATTTAAACAGAAAAACTGAAGGCTTTACATACACACTAATGACTGCACAACAGGAACAGAAGCAAACTCCAGTAGTACCCACCCAAAGAGTTTAAATCTCAGCCTCCGAAAACCAGTCCCACCAGCGATGGGAGTGTGTGTTGGGGAAGCAGCCCCGGGTTTACAGCAGAGTGGATGCATTTCAATGAGCCATCATGATTCACACGGCAGCTCCACAGCCCCACACAAATCACACAGGACACGCCTTAGGGAAACACCTTCTTCCAGACCAGACTCTCGACTTTCCGCAAAACAATCTGTTTTTCAGACCCTCAGAGTTTCCGCATGTGGGCATTTTCACTTGCCACAGGGAGAAAGATCCTGAATTTGCATCCTCAGGGGGATCCTTACTTAACACGAACCCATCAGCGTTTCCTCAGAGAACACACTGGGAGAAGTGACCCGAGAGGTCCCGGTTAGCTGCCTAATCCCCTAAGCGACAGTTCCTTTTAAGGGAGCGCCTTGCCAAGTCCAGCAGGGTTAACGTGGACGCTACAGAAAGGCGCATTCCACTGCCATGTAAAAATAACTTTAAATAAAAATAAAAATGTGTGCATATGAAACGTCAGCCCACGGCAACAGGAAAGAGCGTAAGATCACTAGGGCTGTGCTCCATTTAGGGAGCTGCACGCGGACAGGAGGAACAGGAAAAGATAAACACACGGGCCAGAAAATGAGAACGTCCAGGGCTCCGAGATGATTTGAATGTCTTGCGCTGCGCTCAAGCTCAGACACCACAATTAAAACGATGTAAGTGTGGCATAATGCACTGCTGTACTTAAACCTAGCAGTGAATGCCTTTGAAACCTAGCCACACTTTCCAGTGGCCACAAAATATCCCCTCAGGCTTGAAGAAGCCTTACTCTACAATTTAAAACACTTCCTTCTTACAATAAAAGAAAAAAAAGCATTGGTTCAGGTCAAGGGAATCTATGCTGTGAAAGATCTGTTCCATTTACTGTCTCGTCCAGACCTACTGACATACGTAATCATTTTAACCGTAGAAAGGTAAAATGTTTCTTAGACTAATGGCAAATAAAAATTTACTTAAAATTCTTGTCAGGATGATCTGGTATTAATGATTGTCGTTAACCTTTCTAAAAAGAAAGAACTACAGATGATTATTAATAATTACAATTACTCTTTATCGAGCACTAACTATATGCTGTGTTAAGGACTAACATGCACTATCTCACATAATCCCCGCACCAAATCCAGGAAGTAAACATTCTATTATCCTGCCCCAATAGATGCTCAGAGAGCTGAAGTGACTTGCTGGGAAGTGGCCAAGTCCAGCCTGGAATGTATGATTCCAAAGCCTGTTCTTTAACACACCATAAATGTTCCACTTGGTCAAGAGTGGACAGTTCACAAAGTATTTCCTTCTACTGTGTCTAACAACCACTCGAAAATAAAGCAACGCATAACAGTAACAGCTGAGTGAAACTGTGATGGCCAGAACTCTGGCTGTTCGTGCTCCATGTTCCTACAGAAACATGCCACGTCCGGCCAGAGCAATCGGATTGCTAAGTGTCACGGTGGCTAGGTGAGCCGCCTGGCTAAGGCATTCTGGTCTTCGCAGTCAGTTTCCTTGTTTTGAAAGCACTACGCCCTGAAGAACAAACTACTGCTGAGTAATTTAGCTTGAACTATGTGGTCTAATCCAGTGGAGGCAGTGAGCCCTCAGGATCCGTACAGGGCAGTCTAGCATGAAGGTCACCTATACTCAAAAATCAAACAAAAAAATTCTGCTAGATTAATTTGCCCTTCCATTTAAAAAATCATCTCCAGTTTCTTAGGTAGAAGAAACAAGTGAAGCTGTCCCTAACGGCCTCGGAGTCAGCAGAATTACTCCATTCTTTCCACAATCCTCCCTCCACTAAAAGGCAGTTTATTTCTCTTAATGTTCCACCAATATAACTACAGTATTCTGTTCTTACTGAAACAGAATAGTCACATATAGCAGAATACCTTGTAGGTGGGGTTAAAACATTAGAAAAAGACATCTATCATTTTATTATTAAACTAGAAAGATGCCAGCTGACAATCAACAAAAGGCCTCCCAGCAACTGAAAAGCACAGAAACTAAGCAAAGATTTTCTTTTCTCTGAAGACACGAAACTCTCATTCAGTCAAGAAAGATGGATTTTGTCACTCATTATTCTCTAAAATGGAAAGTGCCACATGGAGACCATAAATGGGGTAAATTGCATCTCGGAGCAAAGTTGTATGTGCCAAGTTACAAAGCCTGTGAATACAAGGGGTGTATTAATGGAAAGACTGATACCATCTTACTACAGTGGCCTCTCTGTAGCTTCAGACAATGATCTGTTGAGGGTTTTCCAGTGATTTTGAATGTGCAACCTCCATACAAGCCCCCTTTTAAGGGGGCTGGCTGGGTGCTGAACAATCCCTCTTAGGAAAGAAAGCCAAAAGCCCCTACTGGGGCTTTGGGGTGAGAGGCTCAGTCCTGGAGGCGTGGGAAGGCTCAGACTTCAGACACAAAGGAGTAGGAGTGGTGGAGGGGCCGGGAGAGCCGAGATCAGCCTGGGTCCACCTGCCTGGAGGGGACCCAGCCCCACAGGATGGGACTTTCACAGCAAGAGTTCAAAAGGGTTGGGAGTTAGGAAGAGAAGGAAGCAGATGCTGCAAATGTAAGAGTAAAGTCAGTTACCCCTGAGAGCAAACCATGCCACAAGGGGTGGAGTGCGATAACCAGAAACAGGGTGGGCACATGCCTTCTGGAAGCTGGGCAGGCCCTGGACCATCAAAGAGCTAGGGGTTAGCTGTCAGCCCCCAATTCCCAGTTTCTCTTCTCCCAAAAAAACAGCTCCAGGAACCCTCCTTGGCCCCAGCGGGGTAGGGCACTGCCACTGCCAGGCAAAACCACCATACTAGAATTCCCACATTCCCTTCTTCCATGGGGCGCGGGGGGGGGGGGGGGGCCGCAACTCTTAGAGAGAAAGGGAGCCTGCTGCCACCCTAAGGCACATCCACCAGACGGGAGAGAATAGCCCCCTGGGTAACTCTGCTAGGACCACTTCCAAATGAAACCAGACCCCGCAGGGCCCTTCTGACACTCTTGGGAACCCCCAGATACAAGGACCCCGCAAATCCTAACCCGGCTAAATCCGTGGCCTCGTGTCTCCCAACCTCGGGGACCCCTGCCCAATCCTAAAGCCCAGCTCAGAACTACCTCCCGAACACAGCTACAGACACTCAGCCCCCTACATCCATCTTGGAAGCCCCACATCCCAAGACTCAAACGCAGCCAGTCCACTCAGCCCCTCAAAACCTATCCTCAGACCCCAATAACTCCCTCAGTCCCCCGGGACCCCCCAACCTCCCAATCCCCGCCCAGCCCCAGCCCCCGGCCCGGTCTCAGTCATCCCGAATCCTCGACCGCAGTCCCCTCCACCCTCTCCAACTCACCTCGATCCCCCCAGGTCCCTCCCCGCCGCCTCAGACGCGGCCACAGCGCGCCCGTCCCCGCGCGCGCCCGCCGGGCTCCGCTCCCCGCTCGCTCCGGCCCCGGGACCCGGCCAGCCCCCGAGCCCGTCTCAGGACGCGTCCCCTCACCCCCGGTCCGTCGCAAGCCCCCCGCGTCTCGCCCCAGTCCCCTCAGCCCAACTTGAGGCAGCGCCACCGCCTGCGCCCCGGGCCGCCCCTGCCCGCCGCGGCCCCCGGCCCCCAGGCCCCGCCGCCGCGCTCGGCTCACCTCCTCCATCTTCTGCACCATCTCCGTCAGCTGGCCCTCGTCCTCCAGCAGCTCGTTGAGCTGCACCAGCGACAGCCCGGCAAACCGGGCTTCGCTCGCGGCGCCCGCCATCCCCGCGTCTCGGCCGCCGCCGCCGCCGCCGCCGCTGCCGCTCTGACCGCCAGGCTCCGCCGACCGGAAGCGCCGCCCTCAAGGCCCGCCCCCGACGGGGGGGGCACGTGACGCCAGCCCTGGGGCGTGACGTCATCGCCGCGCGGGCGGGCGGACGTGACGGAGCTGGCCAGGCACCTGGTGAGAGTGGCGGAGGAGGATTCCTCAGGGAAGGTTGGGGGCGTCTGAGGGAGGGAGAAAGGACCTGGGGACGGACTTGTGAGGCTGCGATCGGCGGTGATGATGTCACTGCGGCACAGGAGAGTGCGCTGTGACGTCATAAGAGCCTTTTTCCTCAAGGAAGAGAAATGCCGAGATCCGCAGAGATCAAGCAGTGGGAAGGAAGTTACCGCAGCCTAAGCCCGGCCTGGGCCGGGGAACCCCAAAGAAAGGAGACTTTATGGGGAAACTATAGATGCGTTTGGAGCTGCCAAGTCATTCATTTAACAAATGTTTATTGAGACCTACTATGTGAACTAGAAATTGGGGATAAAATTCTGAATAAAACAAAAAGGAGCCCTGCCTACACGGAGCTAATGGAGTGACAGGAGAAGCAAAGAAAAAACAAGTAAGAGTAGAGAAGACCTTCTTTAGGGAGAGTTGGAAATGATGGCCCTCTTAGAGAGGGTGACATCTAAGGAGATCTAAAGGATGAGAAGGGAGGAACCAGCCACTATTCCTGTAGGAAGCCCAAGGCAGCAAGACGAGCATGTGCAAAGGCCCCGAGTCAGGACTAGCTTGGTACATTGAAGGAATGGGCAGAAAACCAGTATGACTGGAGCATCCTAAGCAAGGACCCATGCAAGTAGCCCCTTTACACCAACTCAGAGGAAGGCGCCTAGACACGTAGGTGGGCCCAGCTGTGCTCTTTCAGAAACAACATGACTTAGAGTGCAATTGCTCAGTCTCTCCAGCTGTCTAGAAGTCTCTCGAGATCCAGGAGTCTGGGACTCATTATCCTGCTTTGGAATCTGCCACCATTCTAGTTGGGGAAAAAACCCTAAGTCTGAGGTTAGCCAGTACAGCCCCCTAATTTTACATATAAAGAAACTGAGGCCCTGTGAGGAGGAAGTTTTTGGTTTTTTCCAAAATCTAGTAATTGGCAGGTCTCCTGGCTCCCAGTCTGGCATTCACCACGCTGGCATCATACCACACTGACCTGGTCGCATGACTCGGCACTGAACACAGTCGAGGCATTCAGTCATAGCTGATTGGCTGCCTTGTGAGCTTTGTGTATGGAGATGATGCGTCTGCTCTCCCATCCGTAGAACATAAGGTCTAAGTTGTCTGTGCGTACGAGCTGGGCTCCACTGGCCCGTTCTTTCTCTCCTTCCAGCCCCTTGTGACTAAGGGCACACATTTGTAGAAAAATGAACAAAGTTAGAGAAAGCATTTCATACTCTCTGTAAGCAAAAGGTTTTACTGAGTTCAAAAGGAGCACTCAATAGTTTTCTTCCTTTTAACTTGTTGTACTTGGTCAAAAAAGGTGGTTTTGATGAGAAAAGACCACAGTAAAGAGTAAGGGGAAGCAGAAAGTCAAGTTTGTGTTCCGGATACTAGCTCATTTTTCTTTTCTTTCCAGGAAAACAGTAGACCTGCCAAAGTGGGCACAGTAGCTATATTTCCAGGAACTTCTCACCTGGGAGGCTTAAGATGTTGTCCAGAAATTCCTCATGGTCCCCACAGAAGGTGAGACTAGGTTAGGGGTCCGGGGGCTGCGGAATATAGAGGGATGAGGTGACTCAGCCAAGAGCACACACCAGGAACAAGCCCCGTGCTGAATGCCACACCTGTATGCAGTGACCGCTGAAATGCTCAGTTGGAACAAAGTTCACATTCTTAGCCTCGCCTAGTCCTTTTATAACTTTTCTCCAACCTGTTTTCTGCCACCAGCCTATTCAAGTTACACACCACTTCCTTTGTCAAGCGGAGCAAACCACAGAAACGTCGTGTGTGCTGCTGCTCTAAAAACTTCTTGTCGCTCTTAAAAGTGGTTGAAAGAAGAAAAGAAACATCAGAAAATCCTGGCATTGGTGTCAAACCTGTCGATGTAATGCGTGGGTGGACTTGTACATTTTTTCCCCTTTTGTGGTTGACTGATATTTGGGTTTCTCTGCGTACCTACGTCTGCCTGTAATAGTTGTAGGTTAACTAATGTTTTGCTCTGGCAAATCAAGGACAACGTATGTGTGTGCCAGGGCTTCTCTCTCACTGGAGTATTGTTGCCGCCCAAGAAATGAATCTCCTGTTAGACAACATCAGGAATTGTTTCGAAAGCATTCTTCCAAAAAAAACCACACGTAACCTTTGCATAATTGAACCTCAAAATCCTCCAGCCTTGAAATTAGACTTCTCTCTCTCCAATGCAAGTTAGTAGAATTATTCAAAATATTTTCCAGTTCGAAGAGCTGGGAGAAAATGTGTTGACCTGGTGACAAGGTATCGTAGCATATGCTGTGCAGCTCTGTGTGGGCAGGGGAGGTATTATCCCCTGAGGCGGCAAGTGGAACAGCCATGCCCCTCTCAGGACACACAGCCTGACGTCACCACCGCTGTCACTGTCATCCACTAACCTCTAAATACCCAGCAGGACCTAAGCCTTAATCATGAGAAAAAAAAATTATTTTAGACACAGTCCCTGCTTTGGAGAGAGAAAGAAGATATAAAAACTTGGAGCAGTATTTTAAAAATTATATATAAGATTGATATTACTTTGGTGTGTTATAAAGGTGGAGGATGCAGAAAGGTTAGTTATTTTGATTTGAGGTTTGACTCTTTTCAGTTTGGGATTTTTTTTCTCTTTTATTTATTTTCACTCCCGTGTGGGGTTTGTTTAAAGAAAGAGAGAATATAACAAACACTCATGTACTCACCAGGTTACGAGATAAACATCAGAGACGCAATTGAAGCCCTTATGTATCCTTTCTCCTCAATCCCATTTCCTTTCTCCCTCTCCAGAAGGTAGCTGCTATCCTATTTAGTTATCTTACCTTCTCTGGATAGATCTGTAAACAATAAAGATATTATATACAGATATATTTCTGCTACTTGTTTTGATCAACATTAAGTTTCTGAGCTGTATCCTTGCTGATCCATATAGTTTGAAACTCTCTTTTTTTCACAACTGTGTGGTGTTCTGCTGTATACCTACGTGATAATTTAAAACATCCTTTCTTCTCTTGTTGGGGGTCATAGGATTTTCATATCTGCAACTGTACGGGATATTGCCACATCATTCTCCAAAGTGGTTGTACCAGTAGTATTTGTTGTTTTATTGCAATAAAATATACATAATGTAGAATTAACCTTTTTTTTTTTTTGAGGAAGATTAGCCCTGAGCTAACATCTGCTGCCAATCCTCCTCTTTCTGCTGAGGAAGACTGGCCCTGAGCTAACATCCATGCCCATCTTCCTCTACTTTATATGTGGGATGCCTGCTAGAGCATGGCCTGACAAGCGGTGCCATGTCTGCACCCGGGATCCGAACTGGCAAACCCTAGGCTGCCAAAGCAGAACGTGCGCACTTAACCACTGCGCCACTGAGCCAGCCTCAGAATTAACCATTTGTAAGCGTACAGTTCAGTAGCATTAAATATATTCACATTGTTGTTCAACCAGCACCACCATCCATCTCAAGAACTGAAACTCTGTACTCCTTACACAGTAACTCTCGCTCCCCCTCCATCCAGCCCCCAGTAACCACCATTTTATCTTCCGTCTCTATGAATTGGACTACTCTAGGTACCTCAAAGACGTGAAATCATACATATTTGTCCTTTTGTGACTGGCTTATTTCAGTTAGCATAATATCCTCAAGGTTCGTCCATGTCATAGCATGTATCAGAATTTCATGCCTTTTAAAGGCTGAATAATATTCCACCGTATGCATATACCATATTTTTTTTATGCATTCCTCTGTTCATGGACATTTGGGCAGTTTCCACATTTTGGATATTGGAATAATGCTGCTTTGAACATTGGTGTATAAATGTCAGTTCTTTGGGGTATATGCCCAGAAGTGGAATTGCTCAATTATATGGTATTTTTAACTTTTTGAGGACCACCATACTTTTTTACACAGCAATTGTACCATTTTACATTCCCACCAGCCATGCACAAGGGTTCCAGTTTCTCTACATCCATGTCAAACTTGTTTTCTGGTTTGTTTTTTTTTGAGGAAGATTAGCCCTGAGCTAACATCTGCCTCCAATCCTCCTCTTTTTGCTGAAGAAGCCTGGCCCTGAGCTAACATCCGTGCCCATCTTCTTCTACTTCATATGTGGGACATCTGCCACAGCATGGCTTGACAAGCGATGCCATGTCCACACCCGGGATCCAAACCGGCAAACCCCGGGCCAGCGAAGTGGAACATGCAAACTTTACCACTGCGCCACCAGCTGGCCCCTGTTTTGTTTTTTTAAATAATAGCCATCCCGGGTTTTTTTGTTTTGCTTTGTTTTTTAAATAAGAGTTCTTTGTGTCAAAAAAGAGCTTTGAAAGATGTGCATCACTTCATTTCTCAGTTCAGGTCAGACGCAGGATGTCTGAAAAGTTCCAGAAACCAATTATTATCTATAAAGATAACTTTTCTTTATCCCTACAATCTAGAAAGTAAGATGTAAAGAGAATTCTGGTTGAGAAGAGAAATGAATGTCTCTGTATATAAAGGAAGTGGCTAATTGTTCCTGCAAAAAAGGTCTTTGTAGATTAAGACTGAGAATTTGAAAAAGATGAGAGAAAGGAGTGGGAAACAGATGGCTGTTAGAGATCAGAAAGGCACCTCCTGCTCTTCACACCCTTGAGTAGCCCTCTCTCATCTTGTACGGGGTTGGTTCTGTACAGGGTTGGTCTGTGTGATCAGTACAATATGGCAGAAGTGATGGCATATCACATCCAAGATTAGGTTTCTAGTTTCCTGTCTCACATGTCTAGCTCTGGGGGAAGCCAGCTGCCACAGCATGAGGACATTCAAGCACCCTGTGAAGAAGGACACATGATAAACTGAGCCCTGCCAACAACCATCCCCAGTCAGACCTCAGATGACTGCAACCTCATGAGAGACCCTGAGCCAGAAGCATCCAGCCAAGCTGTTCCAGGATTGCCGACACTCAGAACCGATGTGACATAATGTTGTTGTTAAGCTGCTAATTTGGGATGTAATTTGTTACACATCAACAGGTGACCAATGTAGCATCTGCAGAGTGATCATAGGAGGGAAGGCTGAATAAGTGACCACTATTAAGATAATTTAGATGACCGACACTAGGGGAATGGTTAAGTAAATTGTGGTAAATCTGATCCATGGTATATTTTCCAGCCATTAAAAATAAGAAACATAAAGACTACGAAGCAACATGGAAAATCCAATATCAATTAATATTAAGGTACAAAGGCAAAATACAAACGTGCGTATACTATTATAACACGAACAAGTCATGTTTGTGTGTGAACAAAGACTAGAGAGAGACAAAGTCTTTAAGTTGTTGATGGACGGGCAGTAGATAAGATCTTCTTTTGAGTTATGTTAAGGCTACAATGATGCTTGTAGATTAAAGTTTTTTGTTTTTACTTTTTACCTAAAAGGAAAAAGATCTAATATAGATTTGTTTTAGCAGTTGCTGATGACCTCAGGAAAGATTTTATTGAGCGTCAGTGGAAAGACCAAAAAGGTCACCAAAAAAAAAATTTAGTGAACACCCCCAAAGCGAAATTTGAATAAACCTACAATAAATAAAAATTTGTTGGATCATATGCCATGAAACAGAGGACTACAGATTTCCCCAGCCTGATTGCCTTTCAACTTCCGACTTCAGTTTTGCTGCAATTTTACTTTTCTCACTAATTAAAGGGAGAGGGGTCTTGATAACTGTTTAAATGTTTGCATTGCTTTCTGTCTCTCTCACCAAAAGCGTTTCTGTTATGCACCCTTCTTTCAAATAAGAGCAAGAGGTAATAAAGCTATTTTCACCTCTTCTCTTGGTCAGCCAATCCCATTTCACAGAGAAGGCCACCTGTAGAATTACTTACCTTTTGCTTCCCTGAAGAGCAGCTTCACTGGCCGGCCCTGGAGAGGACCCCAAATGTTTTCAAATCCTGGGACTTTGTTTTTCCTCACCAAAATGCCGTTAGGAAAGAGATGCTTCAATATTTTGCCCTGTTTTGCCTCAACCCCGAGGATCAACCACCGAGGCCCTGAACTGTCTGTTCTGTGCGTATATACATCTCAGTAAGCCTGACAACTTCAAGAAGATTAAGTTCATGCACCAAGAAATTAATTCAACTCTAAATTTTTTTTCCAGCCCTGACAAGATTTGAAAACCTAACATATGAGCAGTGGTTTTGACATTTGAGTAGATTTACACTTAGGTAGAGATGATTTCCAGGCACTGTGCTTGCCAACTCTCTAGGGAGAAACTGAAACTTTCTCAAGATGGTATTTAAAGAAGAACCTTTATAGGGTTTGGGTGTTTGGGGCTTTTTTAAGTTATAAAAGTAATTTGCATCTTTCATTTCTTAACTGGGTGGTGGGTTTATTATGTTATTCTCTATCTGTTTTGGCAAATCTGAAATGTTTCATAATAAAATATACCAATTAACATTCAAATACTTAAAATATTTGTTTACTGTAAACTGTCCAGACAGTAAAGTATGTAAACTGAAATGTTAAAAATAAAGCTATTGATCTCATATTCCAGAAGTAACCACAATCAACACTTTTGTGTTCCTCTTCTCAGAATTTTTCTACATCTAGATACACATGCACATATGTAACCTTTCATGCAGCAGAAGTAGGATCTTACCACTCGGCAACTGGCATTCAGTATTTTAAGCTACACCACGTTCTTTTTAACTGCCATATAGTATCCCAGAATGACCATTGTGGGCATTTAGATTTCTAGCTGTCCATACAGAATGATGCAATGAACACTCATGTATATGCATCTTTGTGTACTTCTGTGAGCAGATATGTAGAATAATTTCCTCGAAATTGAATTGAACCATTTTTTAACTTAATAGATTTTATTTTTTAAAAGTTTTAGGTTTACAGAAAAGTCAAGAAGATAGTTCAGAAAGTTCCCACATACTCCCTCATCCAGTTTCCCGTTATTAACATCTTACATTAGTATGGTACCTTTGCCACAATTAATGAACCAATATTGAGTCTTTATTGTTGACTAAAGTCCATGCTATAGATGTTCTTAGTTTTTACCTAATGTCCTTTTTCTGTCCTAGGATCCCATCCAGGACACCATGGTACCTTCAGTCCTCACGTCTCCTTAGGCTCCTGTTGGCTGTGGCGGATTCTCAGACTCCCCTTGTTTTTGATGACCTGGACGGTTTTGAGGATCACACACAGCGAGTTTGTAGGTTGTCTTCTCTTGGAATTGGTCTGATGTTTTTCTCATGATTAGACCGGGCTTATGGGTTTTAGGGAAGAAGGCCACAGAGGCCAAGTGCCATTGTCATCACATCATATCAAGAGTATATGCTACCAAACATGGCTTATCACCGTTGGCGCTGTGCAGGTGGAGTTCGTCCAGTTTCTCCACTGCAAAGCGGCTCTTTTTCTCCTTTTCCACACTGTCCTCTTTGGAAGGAAGTCGCTAGGCACAGCCCACACCTAAGGGGTGGGAGTTATGCTCCCCTCACTTTCTAATTTTTTAAAGTCATAAAATGGTATAAAATCAAATTCAAACAGTAGTGAAGGGGAATAAAGCAAAAACCATTGTTAACAATGTTTCCTTACCGGAAGTTTTTTCAATGCATGTTCAAGCTACCTGTTCACCTCCACCCTCCCACCCGCTCCCTTGCTTCTTTAAAGCGACTGGGATCCTATTCAGCTGAGATGGAATCCGTCATTCTGAAATCATGTTGCTAAAGAAGATAAATCAATGTGACTCCTTAATAACAGTATCGACCCACGGATAGTTCCTAAAGCACTTGAAGCTCCCTCAGCAGACTGCCCAAGTTTCCGTTTCCTCCATAAGGACTGAAAATAGTTTGAGTGGTTTTTCTTCTTTTAATTCCATGCAGGCTTTTTTTTTTTTTTAAGTAAAGATTCTTCCCGGCAGAAGGTGTTAATTCAGGCACTAAATCTGGAACATTCTAATCACTGTGAAATTTTGCATGTCTCATCTTAGGCAGAAAATGTGTGAAGATGCGAGTTTATTTCGCTAACACCTTGCGGTTCTTGAAGTGGCTCTGCACATGCTCATCGCCTTCCATCATCCCACACTTCAGTCTCC